AAATAAAATGCATAGGATTACAAAGGAAACAAATTGTACTGATATACAGTTATCAAAACGTTAAAAAAACTCATAGACTTCAAGTTAAGAATGCCCAATTTAGGGGAGTGGGGACTGACAGAAGGGAAGGCAGATAAGGGGAAGTGCTTGACAGAAGCAAAACACTGGTGAGGTGGGAAAGAATGAAAGGAGAGAGAGGACAAACAGGGGAAGAATAGGATGGAGGGAAATATACAGGTAGTAATCATAATTGTGAATGTGAATGGGATGAACTCTCCCATAAAATGGAAGTGGATAGCAGTGGATCAAAAACCAGAATCCTACGATACATTGCTTACAAGAAATATACTTGAAGCAGAGAGACACACACAAAGTAAAGGTAAGAGCTGGAGCAGAACCTATGATGCTTCAGCTGAAGTAAAAAAAAAGAAAAAAAAAGAAAAACCAAGGGTAGGAGTCATGATTTCAGACAAAGTAAAAGCAAAAATAGACCTAATTAAAAAGATAATGAAGGAAACTACATCTTGACAAAAGGTACCATAGGCAATGAAGAAATCCAGTTAGAAGAGCAAGGAATAGTCTACCTATCATATCTATGAAGAGGGGAAGAATTCATGACCAAACAAGAGATAGAAAGCATTAGAAAATGTAAAATAGATAATTTTGATTATATTACATTGAAAAACTTTTGTACAAACAAAACCAATGCAACGAAGATTAGAAGGAAAGCAGAAAGTTGGGAAACAATCTTTACAGCAAATGTCCCTGATAAAGGCCTCATTACTCGAATATATAGAGAACTGAATTTATAAGAATACAAGCCATTCTCCAATTGATAAATGGTCAAAAGCTATGAACAGACAGTTTTCAGATGAAGAAATCAAAGATATCTATAGGCATATGAAGTGCTCTAAATCAATTTTAATTAGAGAAATGCAAATTAAAACAACTCTAAAGTATTACCTTACATCAATAAGATTGACTAATATGACAAAAAGGCAAATGATAAATGTTGGAGAGGATGTAGGAAAATTGGGACACTGATGCACTATTGGTGGAGTTGTGAACTGATCCAACCATTCTGGAGAACAATTTGGAAGTGTGCCCAAAGGGCAATGAAATTGTGCAAACTTCGATCCAGCAATACCACTGCTAGGTAGGGAAAAAGGGAAAAGGACTTACATGTGCAAAAATATTTATAGCAGCCCTTTTCATGGCAGCAAAATATTGGAAATTGAGGGGCTGCCCATCAATTGAAGAATGGCTGAACAAGTTGTGGTATATGAATGTAATGGAATACTATTGTGAAATAAGAAATGAAGAACAGGTAGATTTCAGAAAAAATCTGAAAGGACCTGTACAAACTGATGCAAAAATGAAATGAGCAGAACCAGGATAACATTGTACACAGTATCAGCAACAATGTGAGATGATCAACTATGAATGACTCTGTTCTTCTCAGCAACGCAATGATCCAAGACAAGTACAAAGGACTCACAAAGGAAAATGCTATCTATATCCAAATAAAGAACTGATAGACTCTGAATGCAGATCGAAGCATATTTTTCCACTTTATTATTTCTCATGGTTTTTTCCCCTTTTGATCTATTTTTCTTCCATGATTGTGATGAATATGGAAATATGTTGTACATGATAGCACATGTATAAGTGATATCAAACTGCCTGTCATTTTTAGAAGAGGGGAGGGGAGGGAGGGAGGGAGGAAGAAAAATTTGGAACCCAAAATCTTGTAAAAATGAATGCTAAAAATGTTCTTGATATGTAATTGGGGAAAAATAAAATACTATTTAATGCAGAAAAGCCAGCCAGTTTAGCACCTCCCAAAGCAAGAGCACTTTGAGGCATGTTACATGAGCACATTAATTCTGGAATATTTGTTTAAAAGCCCATCATTACTTTAGAGTCAGAGCTCATAAAGGAGAGACCTTAACTTGGCAACATCATTCATCAAAAATATTTATCATGAGCCTCCTATGCTCATGGCACTGTATTTGGCACAGAGCAGGCTTTTATTCTGAGGGAGAGGGAAGGTGAAAGATGATAGTGCCTATCTAACACCGTCCCTGTAAAGCTGATGCGTGAGTCACCTTACACTAAGTGTATTCAAAAATTGCTGTGTTAGCTAGTTTCCACCCTTGGGAGTCTGCTTATGAAAAATGATTATAACAATCCCTTTTAATGCACTATTCTAGGAGAGCTGAGTAGAGTTAAAACCTGTTTTATATTATAAATAAAGATGAAGGAATGGGTGTCTCTTGGCCTACTTTTTTTAGGGTAGGAGGCCAAAAACACATCTTTCACAGGACTAGACAATGGATAAATATTCACTCTACTTGGTGCTTCATGTACAAAGCCTAATTAACCTACTTTTTAGCTCTGCAGGATTTGGCAAAGATGAATTAGAGTAAATTTTAACCACAGTGATACTTCCTGTGACAGACAGAAAGAGCTCAGTCTTCTGTCATGTCAATCAATCAACAAGTATTTATTAAGCACTTACCATATTACAAGCCCTGCATCAAGCACTGAAGATACAAAGACAAAACTGGGGGAAAAATCCCTGCCTTCATGGAGTTTATAGTCAAATAAGGGAAACAGCACATACACATATAAGTAGACGGAATATGTACGAAATAGATATGAAGTAGTTCTCTCAAAGTCACAGAGCTCTCTAGTCCCTATCTCTCTACTACTACCTGCTCTACTACTCAAATAAATTCTAAACAGCAACTGGAGAGGACAGGGAAGGTAGTACTTGAATGTGATTTTAAAGGTAAAGGATTCTGGGAAGTGGAGAAAAAGAGGAGATGAGTTCTAGGAATGGAAGACAATCAGTGTATTGGGAGATGGGAAATAAAAGTAAAGAACAGCAAGTAAATAGACCACTATGACTGGATGACAGATTATAAGGAAAGATATAAAGTGTGAAGGCAAGCACAGTAGATAGAGCATTGGGCCTAGAAACAGGAAGACTCATCTTCCTAGTTCAAATCTGATCTCAGACAAGTACTAGATGTGTGTCTCTGGGTAAGTCACTTAACCCTGTTTGCCTCAGTTTCCTCATCTGTAAAATTAGTTGGAGGAGGAAATGACAAACCACTCTAGTATTTCTGTCAAGAAAATCCCAAATGGGGCTGTGAAGAATCATACATAACTGAACAAAAAAGACATAAAATGTAAAAGGACTGGAAGGTAGGAAGGGGCCAGATTGTGAAGAGACTTAAACGTCAAACAGAGGAGTTAACATTTGCAGTGGAGGACAGTGAATTAAATTATTTTATAGAGGGCGAACCCTGGATTAGGTAGCAGAGGGCTGTATGGCTGAGTGAGTCTTTCTGGGCCTCAGTTTTCTTAGTTATAAAATGAGGGGACTAGACTAGATGAAGGATAGAGCACTGGGCCTGGAGTCTGGAAGAACTGAGTTCAAATCCAGCCTCAGACATTAACTCACCGTGTGACCCTGGGCAATTAACTTAATCCTGTTTGCCTCAGTTTCCTTGTCTACAAAATGAGCTGGTGATGGAAATGACAAATCACTCCAGTATCTTTGCCAAGAAAACCCCAAGTGGGATCATTAAGAGTCAAACAAGACTGAACAATGACTGAACAACAACAACGGACCAGATTATCTCTAAATCCTTCATCTTTATGACTGCTTCAGTGAAATGTTACAGAGATGATGGCAAAAGCAATAGTTTGCTACCCATTTTCATAACATAACTAGTGCATCATGACTCACTCTTTTACTTTGTGATCTGCTTTTGCAAGAAGTAATTCTGTTTTTCTCCAAAATCAGAAAACTTTAAAGTACATAAGTACAATGTCATTTAGAAAAATCTACCCATAAACAAACCCAGAGATCAAGGTCACAGATGAAACATATTGCCAGGCTAGCATATTTCTGCTTCCCAATGTGGCAGGGTATAGTTTTCTGCAAGCACAATCTACCAAATGGTAACAGTTGGGTCCGTGATTTAAGCTTCAGTAGAGTAGTTATGATCCTTCAAAAAGGACTAGATGCCTCTTAAAGCTTCCCTTCCAGAAAAAACAAACCCTGGCTGGGAAATACTGAGCAGAACTGCTGTGAAGGGCCATTAGGACAGGGACAGATGTGATTGCTCATATTCATTTATCACCTGTCTTGAGTGAAATGTCAATGAACTAGGTGAAGAATTGGAATTTTTCACTCTTAGAGCCTTATATCCCAATATCCTTAGTTCCTTATATCCTTATCTTCACTATAGAGTAATGTCAAGAACACTGTTCTAAGAGGTGGAAAACCAGGGTTCAAATTCCAACATTGCCACTAGAAGTGTGACTCTGAACATGTAGACATATTGCAGTGGAAAGAATAATTGATCTCTCGTGTCACAAGACATGAGCTTCAATCTTGACTCTATCATGTACCTTCTGAGTGACCCTAAAATAGTCACTTCACTTGTTCTTAGTTTCCTCACATCTATAAAAGGAAAGCATTGGACTATTAGGGTGGGAAACCTGCATCTTTGAGGCCACATGTAGTCCTCTAAGTCCTCAAGTGTGGCCCTTTGACTGATAGAGTAGGAGGGCCACACTTGGGGACCTAGAGGGCCACATGTGGCCTTGAGGCTTCAAGTTTCTTACCACTGGTAGACAAACACTAACGTTCCTTAGAGCACTAAACCTATGATTCTAAGCCACTTGGCCTCTCTGAGCCTCAGTTTCCCCATATGTAAAATGTGAATCACAATATTTGCTCTACCTATCCCACAAGGTTGTTGGGAGAAAATCACTTTGTAAAGCTTAAAACTCTTTATAAAGGTCTGCTATTAATTATCATTCTTTACCAAGATAAGAAATAAAGATTTCTTGATTCTTGAGACTTTGTAAGTAAACATATTAGTAAATCTCAAAGGTAAGAGATGTGTATGGGGGTAGAAAGGCAGAGAATTGATAGATATAGAAGCATTATTTAGTAGCCGTGGCTACTTTTAGATTACCATGGCCTTATTGGAGTGGCCTCCTCCTTGGAACTCAATTGTCCCAAAAGCATCTGTTGGGCTGAGCTGGGTGTGCTTGCTGATGGACCATTTCTCAGACTGGATGTCATTTCGAGAGAGTCGGCTTTCATTTTTCTCATTCTGAATAACAGAGATACTTGGTGTGAGTCCGACATGCTGGCCTATCAGACGCCCACAGCAACACCTATGACACATGAAAAAAAAGCCCAAATGATCTCACTTTCTTGGGAAGTACATGTTATAAAACTTGCTGGATACATTTCAAATATGTAGGAGACCCTGTCAGACTGCTGTCTTTTGGAAGCCTGAAGAGCAAAGCTCAATTTTAAAAGTTTTTGCTTTTTTAAAGTGAAGTGTACCATAGCTTAGTCATAGATAAAAATTGGGAAGAAAAGAGAGATTCAATGAGCTAGCTATCAATTAATTATTTCCCATTTTCCCTTATTTTAAATTTATATTCGTAAGTCTTGCGGCTAACAAAGACTTTCATAAATATGGAGTTCAGGTGTATTATTCCCACTTTACAATTTAGGAAACTAAGGCAGAGAATTTAAACACCTTCCCCACATTAGCTTGACTAATCTATTGTATACCTCACCACTTCTCACTTTTATGGGCTTTGATCTTCAGGGATAAACATTTATAAACTAAGTATCTCTCTACTCTTATTCCCCAATTCCCCCATCCATCTAATTCCCCTTAATGCTGGATAGTAATAAATGAAATATTTTAACTTGCACATTTAAAATAAGGTATCTTACTCATGTGACTAAAAGGCTATCTTGTCTCTTCTAAACTGACATTTACTGCCAAATATCTAATACTGAGAATAAAAATCCACAGGCCTAGGACATCTTGCAGAGAAAATGAGAGAATCATTCATGAGATATTAAAAAGAAAACAACAGCACAACAGACTCCTAACATCATGAAAATGTCACAGGCCATTATACCTGGGGAAAACATTCCCAGACACAATATACTACTGGGCCCAAAATGATCTCTTGACCTCATTTCTTAATGTTGGTCTATATGAAATTCGAGATGATATTCAAAGAGGGCTGGAGTGAGATCCTGATTGGGCTATCTGTCAATAAATTCCCCTTCAGTATAACAGAATGCTGGTTCAATTTAAAAAAAAAATTAGTAGGGAGAAATAGGCCTCTTAATAACAAAATATCTCCTATATTCATACTTCCTGGAAGGAAGTATACTTGCTCTTCCGAATAGCCTTTCAGGGTATAGTTGATATGTATTATGTTGAAGAGTTAGATGAAATCTACTCAGAGAGCTCCAACTACAAACCCATCTTTAATTTGACAGTGGTTCCCTTGTAAACCACAGCCATTATCTTCATAGTCACAATTCCAAATTATAATTTCATTTTCTAGACAGGATGTAAGATTACCTATGGGGGTCTTTGGTGCTGGGTATGATGTGAACACATTCTCGCTTATAAAATGCTCTTTCTATCCAGGACTTCTGAGCCTGAAAAGAAAAGATGGAAAAACACAATTGATCAAAACTTTGATTAAGAAGAAATCTTACAAAATAAAAGGGACTATAAAGAAAATATCAGTTATCTTGAATATAAACACTCAAATAACAAACCCCCAAATAAACAAAAGCCAAATACCTTTAGTATTGTTGGAAACGTCTTATCATGTTTTGTATTTCCTGACATAAGTTAAAACATCAAATTTTTTTTGTTATTTAGTATGCAACCAAAAGTCCCTAAATAACCTGGAGTCAATAACAGTTATATGTAGGTATTTATTGCTGATCACAAATAATAATCACAGTTTTCAGTTAGCTGCTTTTCCCCCTTCTGAATGCCACTGATTAGAAATTATAACTGACTACAAAAAAATAAAGATGGAAAAGTATTTAATACATGCTTACTATGTGTCAAGATGTGCTAAATATTGGATATTTGCTCTTCAAGGAGCTCACACTCTAACTGAGGAAGAAAACGTACAACAGAAAGTCAGCTGTAGGGTAGATGGCAAGGCCTCCAGATAGTTGATCTCCTTAGCTTTGTACAGGTGATACCTCAGACTTTAAATGTGCTGTCTCCTCAATTCAAGGCTCAACTCAACTTCCAACCTCTCACATGAAGCCCATACTGATTTCCCCCCTTGCTAGTGCTGCCCAAAACTACTTTTTATTTTCCTTGTATTTTGTATCATCATCTCCATTTTCCTGAGATGAAGGAAAGTTTTATTGTTGTTGCTGAGTAGTTTACCATCTCCTTCAACAGTAAGTAATGTTTAGTGACTCACTTAAGGTCACATAATAAGTGGTAGAGCTGGGACATGAACTCAAGTTTTCTTACTACTCACATTAACCTATGACAAAATCACAGCATTTCTTTGAGGCACAGAAAATCAACCCACTGTACTTACCCAGGGACAGAGTTTGGGTGCAAAGAGAAATATGCATAATTCATCATAGAAAATATGGAATATCCAGAAGCAGGAACAAATACAAAATGGAAAGTCCAGGGCTCAAATGGATAACATTTTGCCTCAAGTCCTTCTGTTAGATGGAGAAAAGAGTGGCTGGGGAGTGCACCATCAGCCAAGTTGAATTGACCATAACAATTTCTCTGACAGCTAAGTAAGTAGTGCTTGAATGCAGAGGGTGGAAAATGAAGCAGGGCAGTTTGTGAAAGGTTTCATTTTATAGAAATATGGAGGAATACTGGTTTTCCCATCCAAAGGGGGAGATTTAATATATAAAGCCAATCGATAGTTACACAATCCTTTTAATACCATCCTATGGGATAAGATATAACCTCCCACATAACTAAGAATTGCATTTCTTAAGTGGTCATTATTGAGATTACTCACATTGTATGTGCCCTTTAGATCACATAAAGGTTCTTGAGAGATACACAACATAGGAAGTACAAGCCAGTTGTACAATCTCTCCCTGGATATTATGTCCCTCTCAACTTTACTGTGAAAAATACTAAATTAGAAGTCACTTACAAAATCATACTCCAAAGATTTTTTTTTGTTACAGACAGTCATCAAGTAATCAAGCAATGGAAACCTTAAAACATTACAAAACATTATCTGATATCAACCCATTATGACCTAGTACAAATAAGTTGATTTCTATATACCTGAAGTAAATAGGTTCACAAGAAAAGACAAATCACTTTACCTCCCTGGACCTGTTTTCTCCTCTATAAAATGAGGATGCTGGGCCAAACAGCCTCCAAATTCTCTTCCAGTTCTAAAACCTATGATGACAAAAATCTATCCTCCCTTTCTCACAGAATTGCTTTAAGTATCAAATGAGAAAATACATATGAAAACTCTTTGAAAAGTGAGAAATCCTATGAAGATGCAATATATTGTCATGATTTTAAAAACTAGAAAGACATAAAGGGAGGTTAACAACCAACTACCCTGTTGATGTGGCACCAGGCTCATAAGGAGATTTGAATGAATAAATAATCTATGGAAAGAACTCTGACCAGTCTCTTTAGTAACCTAGCACTTGCCTAATGTATTAATCCTATTTAACAAAGGCTTCAAATGGCATTAAAATCAGCTAATGACCTAAAGCTCATAACACTTGCAGTGCTGCCTGTAAGAAAGACGTGGTGTCCAGGTTGCCTTGTGCAAAGAAGTGGGTAGTCAGAAATCTTCCTGAGGGCAAGGATGGGGTGTCCTGTGACAATATACAGTGAGGTAACTTCCTCCTTCCCTCTTCTCCAATGGTAAAATGGCTAATAAAATGGTTAGATGCGTAGGAATGTGTTAGGAGTAGAAACAATTTGTAGGTGATGCAACTCCCGTAAGAGTTATAAAACCTAAAAGTCTAAGAACAAACTGATTAATAACTAAGTTTTGAACAAATATCATCATCTCCATTTTCCTGAGATTAAGGAAAGTTTAGTGACTTACTTAAGGTCATATAATAAATGGTAGAGCTGGGACATGAATCCAAATTTTCTTACTACTAACATTTACCTATGACAAATTCACAGTATTTCTTTGAGGTACAGAAAATTAGTTCACTGTACTTACCCAGGGCCAGAGTTTGGGTACAAAGAGAAATAGTTGTAATACCTCATAGAAAATATGTAATATCCAAAAGAAGGGGCAATACAAAATGGAAAGTCCAGGGCTCAAATGGAAAGCATCTCATCTCAGGTTCTTCTGAGAGGCAGAGAAAAGAATGACTAGGGAATGCACCATGAGCCAAATCTGATTGACCATAACAATCTCTCTGACAGCTAAGTAAGTAGTGCTTGAATGGAGAGGGAAAAAGTGAAGCAGGGCAGTCTATGAAAGGTTTCATTTTCTAGAGCTATGGAGGAAGACTGATTTTCCCATCCAAAGGTGCAGATTTAATAAGTAAAGCCAATCAATAGTCACACAATGTTTTTAACACTGTCCCATGGGATAAGATCTAACCTCCTACAAAACTAAGAATTACATTTCTTAAGTGGTCATGATTGGGATTACCCACTGTGTATGTGCCCTTTAGATCATATAAAGTTCTTGAGAGATACACAACATGGGAAATACAAGCCAATTATGGAATTCATTCCTGGACACTATATCCCTCTCAACTTTATCTTGAAGAACACTAAATTAGAAGACCCTTATAAAATCCTATTTCAAAGATTTTTTCTCCCACAAAGTGTCATCAAGTAATGCTTTATTATTTGGGGACAGAAATCCTAAAGCATAACAAAATGTTATCTGTTATCAACCCATTGTGACCTAGTATAAATGACTAAGATGGTTTCTATACACCTGGAGTAAATCAGTTCACAAGAAAGCTGAAATGTTCACTTCACCCATCTTAATGATTGGTGTAGCTTTGGTACTTTAGGGGAATCCATTGTGAGGATGGGTAAAATGATCATATTGGATGAACTATGGCCGTGTTTGATCACATACAACAAGGACATATATATATTTAAATCTCCCCGTGATTGAGATTATTCTTAGGGCTTATAAAGCTGAAGACAACATCTTCTAAAAGCTATAGCAGAGTACATTTAAATGTCGTTGGCTTTGAGGAACTTTAAGGAGCATAGAAGTATTCTTAACCACACTATCAGAATTCAATGGTGACACATATAAAAAAGAGAGCCACCATTTATCTACCTTAATGACTTTATGACAAAATTAATAATCCATTCACACAGAAAAATAAATATTCATTGTTTAATTTGTAAGCTGGATATTTTAATCTTCTTATTGATTCAGAGGATGGAAACCCTACATCTTTGCAACCCAGAAATAAACTCAATAAAAATATAAACAGTCTTTATCTTGGTAACAGGCTTTTAAAATTAAACTATTCATAAGCCATGATTTTTCTCCAGACACTAAAACCTCTTACTGATAATGTCTGCTGGCAGAAATAAAGTAAAACTTTCCTCACAGGTCATTTTAAACTCTTTTCTTTTTGTACCTCAGGGAAAAGGAAAGGGAGTGTGTATTTTCCTTTTAAAAAATCTGTTTTTCACCAGTATGGTAAATGTTGGCGCTAGGGGGGAACAGGAAAAACTGTCTATTGAGTGGCACATGGAGGTGAGGACAAACACCAAAGAGAAGATAGAAAACTGCCAGTTGAATGATGTCCCTCCTCCCTCACCTCTGAAGCAGACCTCAATTCTGATGTGACTCTGACCGTATCATCTTAGGCTGAGGTGAATTGTGACTCTCCACTGTAGGGTACTTCATCTTAGTGGAGGTGAGGCTTCAGTAGTTCTATCTTAGCTCAAGATCTTTAACAATCTGGAGGATGGTTAGTGGGGATCTTATTATGCTTATTGCCACACAAGCCTGCCTCACAATGACCTTCAAATCTGAAATGAATCAAATTCAAAATTGAAGAGACTAGTATGATTCAGGCTTGTATAAAATTAATATTCATTTGCCTTTCCTTACTCTTCACTGAATTCCATCTCTCAAATGAATAGTCATAAAATGGAAATAGTTTTGAGGAGGTAAACCTACCTTACAGAACTACAGCTTCTGAACTACATCTAAACAGGAATTCCCTCTACATCATTTTTTACAATGGTAATCAGACTACATCTATGGCCCTTTAGGTGGCACAGTGGATAGAATACTGGACCTGGAGTAAGGAAGACCGAAGTTCAAATTCTGCTTCATACACCTACTAGTTGAGTGACCCTGGGCAAGTCACATAACCTCTACCTGCCTCAGTTTACTCATATGTAAAATGGAGATAATAATAGCACCTACCCCTTAAGATTGTTGCAAAGATAAAATGAGATAATATTTTTAAAGCACTGCAAACCTTAAAGCGTTATATAAATGCTAATCCTTCTTCCTCTTTTATTCTTTCTCCTCTTCCTCTTCCTATGACCTCTTCTCCTTCTATTCCATCTGCTACCACTACTATTATCTGAATACCTTTAGTGAAGTAGAATTCACAACCTCTTGAGCTAGCTCATTCCATTACTGGACAGCTTGGTTATTACCTAG